TTTTTAAGTAAATCAAGATTAAATAAATTTTTTTCATAAATTTATATATAAAATTGAGGTACATCAAGTCATTTGACCTATAATTACAATACTCAAGTGAAAATGTTCTATATCTGTTATATAGTAATTTTATAAAATTAATAATTAGAAGATAGCAATTCTAGTGTAATGGTTGGGTTGTCATCTTTCAAGTGGCAGGTCTAAGGTTCAAATCCCACCTATAATGAAATTTAGAAATTATGTCTGTGTTATAGTAACTGTCTTCTGTTAATCAGTTGGCCTCATGTGGCTATTATTTAAGTACACCAAGTCAGGTTCTACTGATATTGGGAGCTAAGGCATCTATGCGAAGTGTAATGTTATATGTATATAGAGAAATGTATAACTGGTGTTGTATAAGACTTTGGTGCAAACCCATAATAAGACCATCGAATATAGAAGACTAAGAAACTAAGTTAACAGAAATCTACTTAGAAATTCCTAAGTAAAGAGATAGCATGAACTTTCGATGATACTATTAGACTAGTTAAAGTTTATGAAATACCTTCATAGAAACTGAAGCTTAAAACTAGACATCAAATATGTGTAAAGGAGCACATAACCAACCAGGCTGCTGGATTTACCAAAGAAAAAGAATACAAAGTATATCATATTAGGCTATCTGAATTGGTAGTCTGAAATGAGACTGGTGGTTCTGAGTTGCGACTAGTAGAAAATAATGAAAAAAATATCAGAAAGATAGATATTAGAGTTCTAGTGAACTTTACAAAGATAGAAATAGTGTAATGTAGCAGTAAAACAGGTAACCCCTATAACTGCAAATGTTAAATAACTATAGTAGTTGCATAAAACTAGGTTTATATGTATGGAACATAAAGGCTCTAGTAAGTTTCTTGTTAAGGATAAACTAGTCCTAAGGGTAACAACAAGTATCGAGAACTTGGATGAATGTAGCTTTGAAATGTTCTCATAATACAAGAAGGACTGCATATGCAGAGAGTTTAAATAGACAAGACCTCTAGTTGGCTTGCAAGTATGACAACTAGTATAAAACTTATATAGCAAAGTATAAGCAGACTACTTAAATTAGATACCAAAAGTGCACATATAGTTAGTTGTAATCTCTAATATAAGATGAGCTACTGGTGGCATGCTGTGTCTTAATATACTTGAATAAAAAGTTGCATTCCTAAGATAAAAACTTTAATTATAAAAAAATAAAAAATAAAAAATAAAATAAAATTAATAATTAATATATTTTTAAATGGGTTTTATTTTATAGTGCTATAGCATCATAGTGCTAGGGTGCTATAGTGCTATATTTTTTATTATATTTTATATTTTATTTTTATACACTATGAATATACAATAATATATATATATATTAAAAAAACTTAATAATAAATATCAATACAGTTATACAGACAAATTTTGGTAATTGCTATAGATATATTTATGTGCTTGTGGATACAATAATGGATACAATAATATTGGCTTTACTAAAATGAATTTGCCAACTCTAACCCTAACTATACGTAGCTATTATTGCGTCCGTAAGTCACGTGAATGTCATGTAACTTTAGCTATGATAATATTGTCACTATTCGCAAGGCCCGTAATTTTCATATATCGTATTACGTAGATCCAAATATATATCGTTATACGTAAGTGTGAGTTTCATACTAAGTATGAAATCCCAACTCAAACCTAAACTTCCTAAACTTTTAATTGAAATAAAACTTAGAGACTGTTCTAGCACCAAGACGATCTAAAAATTTATTCCTAATTCAATACTTACCTAAAATAACCTTCATATTATTCTTGAGAACTTTTGGTAATAATAATCTAGCGAAAGCCGACTCTAACGGCATTTTTTTTTTCAGGCTGGTAATGCTAAAGTCCAAGAAATTATACTTACACAGTACATAAAATCATTCGATTTGCTTGAAATATTAGTATAAATATGAGATACAGACAATTTGGTATCTTAAATGACTACTCTGATCATAAAAACAATCGTTAGACAAATAACAGAAACAATTGGTATATAGCAAATTTTGGACACCAAGAAAAATATGAAATCTGATTATGAGTTCATTATTAGGTTTCTAATTTTCTTGGTACTACTTATACGTATAATTATCAGCAGGCTCAAAATAAATAGCTTTTAGTTATAGAAAAGCATTGTAATAACTATTCTTGCCTTCGAGAACAGGTTGCCCGATTATGACCAGCACCATCGCAAATCTTACAATGTAATTGACGTTTTGTCTTTTTTGACGGTTCGCCTGCACGTCGTATTCTGCCTGTCCCTTTTGGTCGACCTTTACCCTTACGTTTATGAGGATTCATTAGCTCGCTTGGATTTAACTTTCCTTTTTCAGGTCCATTATGATTATCATCACTTTCACTACTCGAAGCTGTGTCACTATCAGACGATAACTCATTACAATTATCTATATACTTATCAAGCATCGCAATAAAACTGTGGTCATTTCTTCGAACAGCTATCATCAAGGCTGCTCTTGCTTTTCCCCATGCTTCTCCATATAACTTACGCTTATCTATCATTTTACGATTTATATTATGCATATCTTGAACCTGAACTAGTGCATTAAGATAAGGAACTGGACCACTCCAACTCGTTACTGGTTGTTCCATTTCGAATTTTTGTGCAACCAAAAACGGGTCATGAGCAGAATTGTTACTGGTTTCATTATCATTATACCATCGTGATCTTATTAACTGAATATGGAATGTTGCAGCCCGTGAACATAGCATTATTTGAAAAAAATGCCGACAAACGATTCCACGATTACAGTGATCAAAACAAGAACATAAGTGAGTCCCATCATCCAGAAGTACTACAAAGTGCCGTATATCATTAGATATTACTTGTCGAACCCCCCACATTTCTAAGATCTTATTATTATCAACAAGGCTAAGCATTGATTTGGCAATGATATCGGTATAACTTGGGCTGTTGTCAAATAAGGCAGGATCATCGAGATTAATCTAAATTTATATGCGATTACCAATATTTAAAGTAAAGTTAGGAATTATTAATGCAAATTACGACTAATATGAAGGTCGTCGAAAGCCTTATAGTTTTTAAATTGATTATGAATCGATCTGTAGGCTTTAGACCTCCTAATATAGTATGATCACATTCTTAATTACCTTAAAATATCGTTGTAATTCATTTTTATTTACTATCACGCCGTGATAGTGAAGTGCTTGTTTAATTTGATCCTCTTGAATTTTCAACATTTCCACTGTAAGATATTTCCGTAACATATTACAGACATTTGGAAGGATAGTATCGGCCGTCGTGACAAGAACAGTTTTAGGAATTGATGCACGAAATAATGCGTATTCTGTCCTTTTATCCTCTTCAAGAATGCATAGAGACAATTTTTCTGCAAGCTCTAACAGTGTTGTGTTCGAATTAAATATCAACCTTTTGATTTTAGAATTGTAACTTTCCACCCGAGAAGTCGATGACATCCCTGCAGTAAATAATTTAAGTACAAACGCCTTTGCCCATGATTCTTTATTAACATAAAGCATTCGTTGTAAGTAGTTAACTACATTTTCATTATTATATTTTTCGATTAGGCATTTCCATTTGTATTCGAAAATGGTTATAAAGCTACTCCGCTGTACTTTAAAGAAGTTCTTAATAAACTCATCATAACGGTCTTTAAGACTATTTTTCAAATTGAGTGGAATATTTTGAGCAATATGAAACATACAATGAAAAGCATTGACTGTTGGAAACTCATCTCGTATTGCAGCAACCAGAGCAGGGTCGGCATCAGTAAACATAACATGCGGAACAGCTTCAGATGTCGCCTTTTTGATTTGTTGTAATATCCAACAATGTGCCTCCTTTGTTTCATCATCCGTTAAGGCCTGAGCTACCAACCGAGAAGACAAATGATTGTCAACCACCAAAAAAAGGGACAGTGCCATCTCATAACGGTTGGTAGATGAAGTATTGTCATTTAAAATTACATCGCCAAACTTTAACCACCGTTCAATTTGATCAGGAGACATGTAGAATAACCGGCGAAGGCATTTGCTATCAGGGTCCCAATCCACTTCAACATACCATCGAGGATCACTTTCTTTTTTCTTTAATAATTCATCATATAAACGACCTGCATCATTTGCATGGTCACGTGATTTGGACCGAAATCGCCAAATTATCCTGTGTAACACTAGCATGTAAATCTTCACGCAGTACTTCTCTTCAAGAGCCTTGTGAATTTGCTGAGGGCTGCAATTCATTTTAGTCACAAAAAACTCAACGTCATTAACCATATCCGTTGTAAACTCCAAGCTTTCCTGAAAATCATAATGCTCTCGATCAAGGTCATGGTTCTTATGCTCATCAATCAATTTTGTAACGTATACAACTTTGTGAGGATTGTTTTTCTCCGGGCATAAAAGATTTACTTGCCATGTACACCCAACACGCTTGGAAGATGTTTCTTTCTCTGGATTCTTATTCTTTGTTGCCTCAGGTTTACCATAGTGCTCACAAACTAATGTGCGCCTTCGGATTGTTTCATTCGACTTTTCAACGCGATAACAGCGAAACCTAAATCCTTGACTCTTCGCATACTTTTCAACTTCCTTCATCGCATGATCCCAATTAAGAAATATCGTATTCGTTTGCAATTCTACCCCCTGGACACCTTCACTAATTGTTTGGTGCCAATCATTATATACCACCGTTGACTCGTGTTGAGCACCTTCAAAGTTCATCATATTGCCGTTTTCATATTTATCCTGATCAATTCCATGTAAAAAATCGTTAATAACATCAAATTCATCTTGACTATTATATAGGACATCATTAACTACAAAATCGCCTTGGACATCATCGTATAATACATCATCAGTTGCAGCAACCATATATAGCGCACCATTACTAATAGCGAGTTCTTCAGGTTCCTTCATAATTTAGGTATAAATAGGGCAAAGATTAAGAGCAGTTAAGGTAATAGGACAAAAACAAGTATGGATAGGATGAATAACGTAGCACGACGACTATGGTAAGTAAAATGCAGAAAAAAATCAAAAGATCAGGGGCGGATAAAATGATAACGTAGCACGACGACTAAGTGTAAGTAAAATGCAAAAAAATAATCAAATGTAGAACGACTAAGTAAAAGATCAGGGGCGGGTAAGATGATAACGTAGCACGACAACTAAGTGTAAGTAAAATGCAGAAAAAAATAATCAAATGTAGAACGACAAAGCAAAAGATCAGGGACGGTCAAAATATATCATCTAGAAAAAGTCTATTTAATGGATTACATAAGGGTAGCATCATAGCACTATGTTTATCAATGTCAAAACTTTTTTATTTAATAAACTGATTACATAAGGGTAGCGCCGCGGCACCATAGCACTACACTAATATTCCCTTTTTAAATAATATAAATATAAAATATATGTTAAGAAGTTTATTTTATATATATAAATATAAATAAAATTTTTAAAT